GGAGCCCCCAGTGACCGTACAGGTCAGCTCCAGGGTGTCTCCCGGTCTCACCGTTCCTGGTCCAGATTCCTTCAACTGGAGCTGGCAAGAAAGATCTAAGGAGGAAAGAGAAAAGGAATACAGAGTTACGTTAGGACACCCATCTAGGCGTTTGGTCTGCTGGCCTGAGAAATCAAAATTCTTCTCAGTTTATCCAATTGTATGAATTTAGAGCCATCCAGAAGGATGACAGAAACCTAGAAATGTTCATCTCCTGGATTGGGACAGAGATCATGTTGGGCAAACTCACCAGGGAGTAGAGCCAGGAAGAAGATTGAAAAAAAGAGCAATAACATTTTGATCCTCAAGGAAACAGATAAGAATGGAAGCTAGAAATAAAGATTTATTTTCCCCCTCTGTGCCGCAGTGAAGCTGAGAGTCTCCCTGGTATAGTATATGAGTGGGAGGATGCTAGAGAATTTGCATAATGTCAGAGAATAATTTGGGAGCAGGATCCATGCAAATTTTGTGCCTGGAGGAGCGCGAGTCTGGATCAGTCAGGGTCACCTGTGTCCATTGAGTCCCTTCAGTTGCTGACTGATAGCAACTGATTAGCATGCAATAATAGATGGATAGTAGAGCGATAAAAGGAGCGACAGGCTGAGATTTGTGAGATCAGAGCTCAAAGGCCTGTTTTGTCACATAAACTCACTTGCAGGGCTAATGGTGAGCTATTCCTTAGACATTCCATTGAGCTTGAAAACCCACTGGGGGCTTGTCATGATGTGGAAAGAACTTGACATCATTTTGGAACATAAACCACATATTCCAGTTTGGAGCAGGAAAAAACCAGTGTGGAAAAGCATGAGAGAAGAGGTAGAAAAGCAGCTTACATTGTACTTTTCTTTTAGTTCGTCCTGTTTTTTTGTTGTTAAATAATTCTAATTTTTCTAGGGGTCAGGTGTCCGAAAAGCACACACACACATAAAAAGAGAGTTCATAAAGACTTTAAGGAGATTCTGATCTGTCCTGATCATTTTGTATAGATGTGTTTCTGTATCATTTGGGTTCGTGCTGTGCTAGTTGGTCACCTGTATGTCCATCAACGTGTTCAACCGTAACTACTCACATCAAATGGAAATGGTCTTTTTTGAATATGAAGGGTTAAGTATATATAATACATGAAGATGGTTTTTACTTGCAGAGTGTATATCCAATACAATTATTTAACAACAACAAAAAAACAGTAAAAGGTTGAAGAAAAATAGACGAGAGTGTGGCCACCATCCAGTGTTCTTGGACGACTCACCTCCTCTGGATGTTCTCACTGCTTTCTGTGATGAACATGGGAGGAACAGTCAACAGTGAGTTTTGCATTACAAACAGGGTTGCATGAATTCGCCCTTGTTTCCATCTGAAATCTCAAGTGACCATTTTGTTCATGTTTTGCAAAAGCAGAAGGAAGTGGTCTCCCTCTTGGGACCTCCGTTTCCCTTGGAGATGTCATACATTCCCTTCTATAGCCTTCATTCTACCTGCCCAATGAGCCCCAAGGGGATTTGCTAGATTCCTCCATACACACTGGGAGAAAATACAGAGGCCAAAAGGGTTCCTGCTTTTAATTAACACTGAAATCCCCAGAAACAGGTCTACTATCATAATAAAGAGTGGGGTCATGTGGATAGTAAGCATGATGGATGCAACTAGGAAGGTGGAGGGAAGATATTTTGAGATGAAAGTCCCTGGAGCAAAGGACTGGTGGGTGGATGTTGCGTTATTGTCTATACAGGATGCCTAGATGACCCAGCATTTCTGGAATTACGTGTCCAGATTTGAAGGTGGCAGTCCTGTTCAATGTGTGAAGGGAGACGGTTTTGCTACAGTGAAAGAACTGCAAATATTCTATCCAGCTGGCTGTTGTCCAAAATGGCAGCTCCATGTTGATGTGCGCCTCGTTGGATTTTGAAGCTACACAATTGCATGATGAGGCTACCATATATCTGCCCACATTTGTATATATGAGCACGGTATTAGCGGGCGTTCATTTCCAAGAGATGTAGAAAGACGCTGTGAATGTGAAAAGACACTGAAGTAGCAAACACTATAAACTGTATGGTCCCTGTCTCCCTCCCGTGGCCATTTCTAGTAAATCTATTCTGTAAATACATATCCATAGTCTTCTCTTAGGCTTTCACGGCCGGGATCTGATGGTTCTTGTGGGTTTTTTTGGGCTCTTTGATCGTGTTCTGAAGGTTGTTCTTCCTGACGTTTTGCCAGTCTCCTTGGCTGGCATCTTCACATACATAGTTATTTCTGCTTTTTTTTTATTTAGTCTTTTCAGAGGAAAAGTGAATCCACAGATACGGATCCAATGAAAGTGTGGTGTGTGTGTTTTCCAAGTGTAGTCATGTTTTGAAGGATATATGGAAATATTACAACCAACTGTTAAAAAAAATCAGCTCTCCAGGCAGGCATTTAATAACTAAGACTGAGTCCCTGGAAGCGGTTTTGCTTTGT